TCAGGAATATGCAGACACTAGGGGCACTTTAATCAGATGTTACCCTGGATTAGACCACTTTGGAGAGAGCGAATGCTTGTAGGTCCTTAGCCTGAGATCCTAGAAAAATAAAACACTAAAAAACCTAAGAAAGCAGCAACAGGACCAGCTCAAACCTTACCTGGACAGCAGGCTGGAAGAATGAGCAAACAAAAAAAGAATCCCAACATAAAAAGTTAGAGGCAGCTAGATGGCTAGTGGATAGAACACTGGCCCTGAAGTCAGGAGGACCTGAGTTCAAATCTGGCCTCAGACATATAACACTCACTAGCTGTGACTTTGGGCAAGTCACTTAACCCCAACTGCCTAATCAAAAACAAAAAAAAAAGATTACAAAGCCAACATAAAAAGTTATTATGGCGACAAGGATGCTCAAGACATAAACCTAGAAGAAGACTACTCCAGAACAAGCAAAGGCTAAAAGAAAAATTCAGCCTGGGAAAAAATTCAATGAGAATTCCTGTATAAGATGCAGCAAGTTAAAAAAAAAAGACGTTTTGTCATGAAACGAGAGCACTAGAGGAAAAAAATTTAAACACTGGAAAGAAGAACTGGAAAGGAAATTAAGACCTTGGAAAACCACACCCAAGCAACAAGCTCCTTCAAAATCAGTGGGACGAAAAGACAAAACCCAACAACTCCATGAGATGGCAAGTAATAGTAAAAACCAAAATAGAAACTGTAAAGCATCTCATAATAAAAACAAAAAATTTAAGAACTGAAGAAAATAGAAAATATTTGAGAATTATCCAACTACCTGAACATCATGACCAAACAAGAGCCTAGCCATCATATTTGAAGGAATCTTAAAAGAAAAAATAGAATCCACTGGTAAGTTTATGAAAGAAATCCCAAAATGAGAACTCTGGGAATATTACAGCCAAAGTACTAAGTTTCCAAGTCAAAGAAAATTGCAAAGAAATAATTGCAAGCAACCAAAAAAGAAAAGATTTGAGTACTGAGGAGTCACAGTCAATTCTGCACATGACTTAGAAGCCACCACTAGGAAGGAGTGTAGGGAGCTTGGAATACCATATTTTGGAAGGCAAAAGATATGGGCTCAAGAATAACTTAACAGGCAAATCTGAATATATTTGTAAAGGGGAAAAATGGATCTTTGACAAAAGAGGGCTTTCAAGCATTCATGCTAAAAAGACCAGAACTATGTAAAAACTTTTAAATTTAAACATAGGAATAAAGGTAAATGTGAAAAGGTTAACATGGACAATAATAAAGAACTAAACAAGTATGGGAAGATGATACATGTGTCCCCCCTGAACTCTTATCATTATTAAGTGTCATCGTTTTTGTTCAGTCATGTCTGACTCTTCGTGACCTGATGGACCATAGCATGCCAGTGCTGTCCATGGGGTTTTCTTAAGATACTGAAGTGGTTTGCTATTTCCTTCTCCAATGGATTAAGACAAACAGAAGTTAAATGACCGGCCTAGAGTCACACAACTATTAAGTAAGGCCACATTTGAGCTCAGATCCTTCTTACTCTACACCCAGCACTCTATCCACTGAGCTCCCATTTGGGATTTTATTGGCAAAAGTACTAGAATGGTTTGCCATTTCCTTCTTCAGCTCATTTTACAGATGAGGAACTGAGGCAAACAAGGTCAAGTGACTTACCCATGGTCACACACCTAGTAAGTGTCAGAGGCCAGATTTGAACTCACGAAGATAAGTCTTCCTGATTCCAAGAGCAGTGTTCTATCCACTTCACCACCTAGCTGTCCATTAAGGGTCATTAAGAGAATCTAATTAGACAGCAGGGCTGGGAGTAGTTCTGTATGTCTTGATAATCTTAAGAGAAGAATGGAAAGAGAAGGGAAGAGGAACACATGGGGTAGGGGTGGGGGAAAAGCAGGAATGGAGGGGAGGAAAGGAAGGTTAGAGAAAAATATCCTACATGAGCAGGGTATACAAGCAGACATCCATACAAACAAGGGAGAAGTAGCAGGGGAAGTGGATGACACTTCAACCTCATTCTCATCCTAACTGGTCAAAGAAGGGAAGAATGCGCGTGCGTGCACACGCATACACACAGGCAAAACGAGTATGTACAAAACTCAACAAAGAAATGGGAGAAGGAAAAAAAGAACGGGGTTGTCTTAAGTAAAATAAACTCTAAAGATGTGCAAAAATACTTATAGTTCTTTTTGAAGAGGCAAAAAAATGGGAACCAAGGGTGTGCCCATAAATTGAGGAATGGATGAACAAGTTATATTCTGTAAATCTGACGGAATATCTCATGCTCTAAGAAATGATGAAAGATACGGTTTCAGAGAAACCTGGGGAGACTTATATGCAATGATACACAGTAGAGTGAACAGAACCAGGACAACAATTGATACAGTGATGGCAACATGAAAAAGATAAACAACTTTGAAAGTATTAGGAGGTTCGCGTAATCATCGGCTATGATGCCTGAGAACTAGCAATGAAACATGCTACTCATCCAGAGAGAGGTGAAGGAAACAGAGTGCAAAATGAGAAATACGCACACACACCCGTGTACATGCACACACATTTACACATACACCTGTGCATATACATACATATCATACATATCTCTGTATGTGCATGCGTGTGCACACACACATACACACACACACAGATGTGGTCACACACATACACACACACACAGATGTGGTCAATGTGGAAATTTCTTTTACTTTGCTTTGTTTTGCTTAACTATATGTGTTTTTAAGAGCAGCTTTGTTTTTCTTCAATTCTCAAATGGAGGGGAAGGGACTAGATTTGGCAGGGGAGAAAGCTGATTTTTTCTAATTTTTAAAAATAATTTTAAAAAGACAATGCAGATGGACAATAAATTTAACATATAATGGAATAGGAGAAGAGCGAGCTAGATTGCATTTGGGAAACTGTGCAGTACCTTTAATGACTCTAATCTGCTCCCTAACACAAAATCATTTTGCTACTAACACTTGCTACGTCGTTGTGAGTAATGGAACACTAGATGTTAAAAAGAATTAAAAGGTATAAGTCCCTAAGAGAACATGGAGTCCCATGCTAACAACTAAGCGTAGCATATTAGTCACATAAAGGATGTCAGCAGAGAGAAGTAGGACAGGAAAGGGAGGTGGGGCTTGTCATGTAAACGAGATCAAGAGATAACAGCTTGCATACCCCACTGGTACCCACAGATCTAGAGCAAGACCTTCAGCACACCTGAGTGAACCCTCTCTGGATGGTCTATGGGAGAAGAGGCAAGAGGCAGGCAAAGAAAGAAAGAGTTGTGAGCTATGATCTGTTATCACAGGAAGGAGTAGCAACATTGGTGAAATAGCAGAATACTTAAAATGTAATTTTCATCTACTCAAGGAAATTAGGTAGCCTTTTTCTTGTGGATATGCTCTTTAAACATCTCAGTAACAATTAAAATACAACTATAAAGAGAATTCAAATGTTTCACACTATAAAAAGAACAAAAAAATGCTTTCATAAGTTAAATAGTTCCAAAATGAGCAAATATATCTCTGAGTTTGGGTAACTCTGAACAAAATCATTAAGCGTTTTAAAATAATATTTGGTATATTGTGTACTTTTATATATTCTCTTACTCTCATGAATCTTAGAGACCTAAACACCTATAATGAGAACTCAAGATTTTTTAAAAATGTGTTAAGGAATAAAAAAAATCAACATATCTTAAAAGTTATGACATTCATTTATATATAACATTCCAACTTTCACAATCTCAATTATCCAGAATATAGCCATAAACCTGGGAGATAACAGAATCATCCCCTCCTCCCACCCTCCACACATACCTCCACTCAAGCATAAAATTTCTACATAACACAAATACAATTAATCATTCTTTCTGTAAAAAGTAATTCAAACTCATTAACTGGAGGGCTATATGAAATACCATATCCAATTTTAGTAACAAGGAAACCTGCAATAAAAGCAGGAAGTTGGTCTTACACCTTCTTTCTCTCCGACACTAATGAAATGCCATTTAAATGAACACAAGCTGAAGGTTATTAATGAAAATGGTCAGGGGATCCTTTAACCAGATGTGGCCTCTTCCAAGATGGGAGGAGCCTTTACCCACCTAGATGAGGTGACAAAGTTTCCAACACACACAATTAATCCAGAACTGGACATATTCTAAAAGGGAAGGACAATGCTTTTCTGTATTGTGTTGCTTTTAAAATAAGTAACACAGCACTTATTGTGTAAAAGGAACAAAAAAGGAAAAAGGGTCCTTTTATTTAGAGCTGAATAATTTCAAAGTCATAAACCCCAGTTTTATTAGAACTACTTTCTAGATCACATGAAATAGCAGGACACTACTTTATTCACAGTACTACAGAGGAACACTTGTTTCACTGGAAATGCATTAATGGGCCTGATTCTACTGAAGTAAATTGGTAACTTTTAAAAAGATATAATGCTAATATTTTTTATGGCCCAGGAGTAAGTTACTAATTTTAGGAAACTTAAAAGCTTACTACATAATAACTGCAAGCCTGAAGATCAATTGCAAAAACAACTAGCAAAAAATAGACAGGTTATTCTCCTTTTAACAGGAGAGCAATCAAACAAAAGAAAATTTGTGTGCTCAATATCTCTCCACAACTACATCTATTCACAGGAGAAAGAAACATCTATTCACAGGAGAAAGAAGAGTCAGATTTCAACTTAGAAAAAAAAAACAAAACAAAAGGTTGCAAAGAAGCATATATGTCATTAATTACTTTAAGTGTATTCACTATCTTTTCACAGAAGAAACTAATTTTTTCTTCATTTGAAAACAGAAGCCTTAAAAATACAATGCAAAAAAATCTGGAACTCAAAATCTTATAAAAGTAAATGTTGGAAACTATCTTTACATGTAACTGGAAAAAAATAAAAGGGGGGGAGAGAAAAAATACAATTCAAGGAGAGCGTGAAGATTATCTAAATTTAACTCTGCTTTTTATTACCTGAAAGTTAACATCTTCTTTCTTAAATATTAGTGCCCGAACTTCATCAGGATCTCCATTAAATATAGCTTGAACCAGTGATGGCTAAAATATAAAAGAAAAGGGGTATAAAAAAAGTCATCTTTGGCCAAAAATGCTTTATAAAACATTTATGCTTCTAATAACACTGACATTAAATTTCTAAGTCAAGAGCAACAATAAAAGGCATAGAATGTTTCCTCTGTCCCCACTTCAACAGTAACTAAAAACCAATTATCTGGCAGCAATCTACATGAATTTTGTTACATTTTCTTTGCAAACTACACAAATGATTATTATCACCTCTGGAGGGAAAAAAGGTAAAACTAGGAAAAATCACTAATACAGTTTAACCACAACAAAATAATATATCAGTCCTGATAAATTTGAATTTTTAAGCCTAGCCTATTTATCTTACCAATAAGTAATACTATTTAAACTAGAGGATCTAAAATACATAGGCCCACCTCTGTCACTCTGGTAGTTCCCACACAATCTGGGGATCTATTAAAATAAGGCCTCCTTGAAAACATTTTGCTTGGGAGCTGAGAACTAAAGTTTTACCACTAATGTAACATAAGCGTTCACAAGCTAGAAATTTACAAAAAATGATTCAGTTCCCCTGTTCTTAGACCAAGTACAGTATGTCTGAATGGCACAATTAACACACACAAACACGTGTAAGTCTAAATATAAGTTTCCTAATCAACAGCATAAGTATCTATGATAGGATATCATGTTCTACTAGGCAAAGAAGCAGTTGACAAGTTTTTAAAACAAGGCTAAAGATAACACAGTACAAGATAAAGTTGTACATGTAAACAATATACAGCCTATTACAGTAAATGCCAGGCCTTCCGTGTTACTACCAGTAGCTGTCAGTCTCCCCTAAAATAGGCAGAAGTGCCAATTCTTACTTTTTACCACAATTTCACAAACTACAGACTAGACATGGAAAGAAAGGAAGTAAAAGACAAAATGTTTATATCCACAAGGACACAGACAATCTACAATCAGACTGAAATAATTTTATAACATAAGAGTATTTTTTCTTTTCAAAGCTGAAAATATGCAGCCTTTGTCCTATCTGAAATGTTTTTTCGTCTTCCAAGAATATCAGAAACATATTCACTTTGCATTGTGACATGGTACATATACCTGCAAACTGAAAACATATAAATAACTAAAAAGTCTATTTTTAAAAAGCAAAAAAAATAATCATTCATAGTACACAAGAATACAAAAATAGTTAAGAAACTATCACATCTTACCAATGCATTTCCAGAAGCTGGAGATGGAAGGAATTTATTTTCCTGAGGCAATTTGGAAACAAATGGTGGAGATTCATCTTCTATCTCCTCCAAAACAACAATACACACCCGACTCATTCGTTTAAAACAGTAAATTTCAAACTATACAACAAAAGTTACAGTTGGTATAGTACAAGGAGTATGTCTTCCTCTTCTGTACACACTTGCGAACATTCTGTGTACTACAGCTGGCATTTAAAAGTTAATTTTAAACTTCAGTTTTTCCAGTGGTAATTGACCCCCACAGCTTTGAAACATCTCTAAAATTCCCAAGTCCTATTATTCTGTTCAAAGTCACCCTTTCTTTACTATATAAATTATTAGTAAAACTCAAAACAAAACCTTTGTAAACTAATCTCAGGTATAATCTAAATTCATTTGAAAAATTACCCTCTAAAACATTATGCCTCTCACTTCTCGTCACAGTAGAATTTTGTTAGCACAGAGAAGTCATTGTTTGGGATGACATGACACCACTTTGTATTGACTGAAAGGAGAAGCAACTGCAGTGACAGAGGCGATCCCAGCTATCCCCAATTCAGGCAAGGTCAATTTGGTTACATATAGCCGGCTTTCTTTGAGCTGAAAACAAAATTTTTAAATCTCACTATTCTATCTCCACCTCATCAAGTCTTCATTTCTTGAGTTTCACTGGTCTTAATGCTGATATACTCCAGAAAAAAATTCGTCTGTGCTCAGCACAAATTCAGAACATGGAGCTCAGAGGTTGACAATTCTTTCTATGTTTAAAAAATAAACCCACTCTTCTGCATCAACAGCAAAGCTGCAATACATTTACATGCGATGAGTCAGACCACAAGGGACAATAAGAAGATTCTTGGTATTAGAAAATAGCCTGTTTAATCGAGATTTCCCAAATGACAAACATGCAGATAGCTGTATTTTCATCAATAGCACAGGCAATAAAGAGCCCTCATTCCTCCTCCATCAAGCAGCAGTTAGCTGTGGCTGCTCTAAGCAAAACAACTCACAACAAGAATGGTGTTAGCAAAAAAAAAAAATCTTAACGGTTTGAAGAAGCTATGAAGCTCAAATAACTGTTCAAATCACTGCTTCAACCTTTTCCTCCACAAAGTAGTTTATCACTTGAGTGTTTCCTTTGATCTCTGCATGAATCCAGCTTCCATTATATAGTTCTCCTTCAGGGGGAAAAAAATCCTCCGTGCATCTTCTTTCCGACTACTCTTTTATTCAAACATCTGGGTCAGTGCCAATCCAGTTTCCTTCCACTGCTAGCCTTTTTAGTAGATTTCAGATGTTCTGTGTTCAGTAGATGATCTTGAAAAAGCCACAAACCCTTTGAATGAACTGATCGTTAAAGAGAAAGACGAAAAATCAACCATAGGACCTGAAAAATCAGCCCCACAGCAGCATTCCGACTGAGCCTAGTCTGAAGAGCAGACTGCAGACCCGCAGGATAAAATGCCTAGTAATGCTCACATGTTACACTTACCACAGAACTGAGCCACTGCTCAGGATGTAACTTCCTCTAGCCACCCCCCAAAAAGGGCCACATTTGTAAAGTCTTCACAATTAGAATGCCCATGCCAGTTCTGTGACTAATTCAGATCAAACTAAAAAATTCTTTAGCTAAAAAATGAGTGTGCTTTTAACATTTTCCACTGAAAGCCACAAAGAAATCTGGTATCCTGGTATACTGCCTCTGCTGACTAACATCCATTTATGCAAGCAAACAGTTCCAAACAGCTTAACTGTTTTCATATGTTAGTGTATAGAAGCCATTTTAACCCTTTCATGCTAACCAGAATTGTTAAAATAGATTTCCTTGCAAAACTGGTATCAGTAATATGGGGATTTAAGAGATCAGAGAAAATTTACAACCAAATATATAATACAATATAGACATCTGTCTAGCTAGACACATCCTTAGGCTAAACTTTCTGTTACTTAGAAAGACAATTTTGATAACTACAAGACCATAAATATTCTTCAGGAAATTTCAAACCAAAATCCCAGTATTTTTTTTCCTACTAGCTGTATGGTACCAGTAAGTGCATAACTTCCTTACATCTCAGTATCTTCATAAATAAAATCAGGATAATAATGCTTTAGCAAAGTATATACATTAGTACCTTAAAACACTATGTAAATGAATTATTTTATTACTAAAGAGATGAATGAGTCTTTTGTGGCTCGTAAATTTATCATTTTGACTCACTTTTGCTGTATTTCCCCTAACATTTATTAAGTGGCTACTATGTGATAAGCACCATGCAAAGCACTGGGGATACCAAAAAAAAAAAGGGAAAAAAATAGACCCTGTTCTCAAGAAGCTCACACTCTATATGGGGGAGACAATATGCAAACAATTACATACAAACAGGATATGACAAAAAGTTTCTGGAAATTCTTCTACATATGTGTGTGTGTATGTGTGTATATATATACATATACATATATATATATATATACATATATATATATGTATGTATAGGACAGGGTTCTTATTGATTTTAATCCACGATTGCTGCATATTAGCAAACAGGTACTGTCTACTAGTGCCACTCAGATGCTTCTCCATAGCAGCTGCCTCTCCACATAATAGAAATGAAGAGCAGAAGTCATCTATTTAAGATATCTTCCGACTCTAAAAGTCTGTAATTCTAAGTATCACATAAAATTTTTACTATAAATACATTTACATAATGTGGGCAAAGTCTTAAGAATCTATAATACCTTTATTAAGTAGGTCCTCACTTCGAGGTTCAGGTGATAGAATAAGAGACTAAGGAAGGGACTAAGCATTTATGTAGCACTACCTATGTGCCAGGCACTGTGCTAAGCACTTTTTATTAATATTTATCTCATTTGATCCTCAAAGGTAGTATTATCACCATTCTACAATTGGGGAAATTGAGACAAACAGGTTAAGTGACTTGCCCAGGGTTACACAACAAGCAAAGTTACGTGAGGCCAGATTTTAACTCAGGTCTCCCTGAGTCCAGGCCCAGGCTCTATTTACTGCCCCTCTAATGTCCCTCAATCAAGACTGTTGTTTACTTGGCTCCCAGGATATGCACCCTTCCTTCCTCAGTGAGTCATTCTTTCTCCACCACAACCCCGGCTCTTACTAGGAGACTTGAACACACATGCTCCCACCTGGTTGCACTTTCACTCATACACCAACTTTGTATGAGGGGGAATTGGAACACTCCTGGCTTTTCACTGTCACTTCCAGACTCTCCCTCTACCATCATCACTCTGCAACCTCTTCTTGGAGGGACATGCTTTCCAAATTTATTACCCAATCCAGATCCTCCACAACTCCCCACACCACCACCAATCTCCCTTCTTCTTCAATGAGTTCAATGTCTGGCAGGATCACAATCTTTCTCTCCACAATTCTAGCCCTCATACTTGAGACTTCAACACACATACTGATTGATGCTTCTTCAAACACCCTAACATCACCTGCTCAATTCCCACGACCAGCTTATTCCTTTATGTCACCTCAGCTACAAACAAGGGTGGTCATGTCCTTGATAAGGTTATCACAAACAAGTGGTCTATTCCCATGTTAACTCAGGAATTTCTTTATCTCATAATTTTTATCATTCCCATCTTTCCCCATGCCTTACAACCCTGACTACCATTCCCTCCACCTCTCAGTTCTTTCCTAAGTTCTAACCCCTCCACTGGCTACATTCCCCCCACTTTTCTACATTAACTCCTTGGTGAACTCTTCTCTTCTCTTTTCTTATTCCTGACCAAGCCTTGCCAAACTCCCACCATCTGCCATTTTCCTTTCAAGAGCCACTGATTGGAGCTCAAGAAAATCACCAATGGTGGTGACTAGATCCACTACCATGTTAGACAATCTCAACTGGACCCTTACTACAGCAAGGCAATCATTCTACAATTCACTAACTGGTTCAATAATCCACTCTCCAAAGTACTGTTCCAAACATTGTCTCTCCTCAAGCCTTCCACTTCACCTTATGTATCCCACCCCTCCTTCTAAGCTCAACTTCACCAATAAACTCTCTCATGTCCTCTTACTCATCTCACATCATTCAGTCATCGTTAATTACTTAACCTCAGCTAATCTCAAACATGCTTCAGTTTCCTCAGCTGTAAAATGGAGACCTACTTCCTACAGTTTGTAGTAATGATCAAATGAGAAATTTGTAAAGTGCTTAGGCACAGTGCCTAGCACATATAAATGCTACTAGCTATTATTACTGTGTCTCCCCAGTCATTAAAACTTCAACTGATCCTATCACACTTGACAGGAGTTATCCTTTATTTTTCCTCCCTTTTGGGAGACTAAACTCCTTGAGAAAATGATCTGCACTTGTTGCCTCTCGTGTCTCTTCTAAAATCTTCTGCATTCTGGCTTCCAGCGTCATTATTAAACCGAAACTGCCTTCTCCAAACTTATCAATGATCTCTTAACTGCCAAACTGAATGGCTTTTTCTCAGTTTTCTTCATTTTTTTACTTCTCTGCACAATTTGACACTGTCGAGTACCCTCTCCTTTTGGATACTCTCTTCTCCCTAGGTTTTAATGACACTGCTTTTTCTGCTCCTCTGCACCCCTTTCCTGTTTCTCTCCTCTGATTCTCCTCTTATCTGACCAACAGCTGCTTTGTCAGTCTCATTTGCTTATTCTTCATCCATGTCATCCCCACTAAGCATGACTCTACTCTGGTGGACCTTCTTCCCTGTCCCTTTGATATTACCTTACTTAATGATCACAATCATCTCCCCTGGCCTCAGTTATCATCTCTGTGTAGATGATTCCAAGATCTATAAACATCCCTGGCTCTACCTTGAGCTCTAGTCTCCTATCATCAACTGCCTTGTAGACACCTTGAATTTTATGGCCCCTCGGCATCTCAAACTCAACATGTCTAAAACAGAACTCACTGCTTCTCAGCTTCTCCACTACAGCTGAAGATTACCACCAACCTCACAGCCAATGAGGCCAGCAACCTTGGCAACACTCTCAACTCCTAACCCCCACTCCCCTCACATAGCTAATCTATTATCCAATCTTGTCATTTCTTCTTCCATCTCTTATATCGGTCCCCTTCTCTCCACTAGCACAGCCAACAATCTAGTGTATGCTTCATAACCTTCTGCCTGGACTACTGTAATAGCCTTCTAGTTATTATCCCTGCCTCAAGTCTCTAGTCCCACCCCAATGTATTCTCCCCCTGAGCTCCAGTGGTTCTTTATTATACCCAGCATTAAACAGAAATTGTTTGGCACAGTAGCATATCCCTTCCAACAGGTCAGCCCCACTAATCAAAAATTAAGGACATATGGTGATATAGTATTCAGGTACCATATGAACACATACAAAATACTTTTTACACAAATGCAGATCTAAATAATAAACCTAAACCTAAATTGAAGAAATATTAATTGCTCATTTTAAACTGAGCCAATATAATAAAATGACAATACTACCTAAATTAATTTACTTTTCCAGTGCCATACCAATCAAACTACCAAAGCATTACTTTTTATAGACTTGGAAAAACAAAAATTCAGCTGGAGAAACAAAAGGTAAAGAATCTCAAGGAAATTAATGGGGGGAAAATCAGAAGGAAAAGGACCCAGAAATACCAGATACGAAGCAATAATCATCAAAACAACAGGTTAAGAAATAGAGAGAGGGGGCAGCTAGGTGGCAGATAGAGCACCAGCCCTGGATTCAGGAGGATCTAAGTTCAGATCTGGCCTCAGACACATAACACTTACTAGCAAGTCACTTAAGCCTCACTGACCAACCAAAAAAAACACAAACAAAAAACCCAAGAAATAGAGAGAGGTTAATCAGTGGAATAGATTGCCTACAATATACAACGCAAATAAGCACCACAGCCTAGTATCTGATAAACCTGAAGATCCCAGCTTTGGGGCAAAAATTCACTTTCTGACAAAAATTGTTGGGGAAAAGTGGAAAATAGACTGGAAGAAACCAGGTATAGATCAACATCTCACACCTCTACAAGATGAGCTCCAAATTCATGACTTAGACATAAAGGATGATGTGATATTAACAGATCACCTGTAACCTTATAGAGAGAGGAAGAGTTCATGACCAAAAAGACAGAAAAAGGTCACTGAAGATAAAATGCACAATTTTGATTACATAAAATTAACAAGTTTTTGCATAAACAAAACCAATGCAGCTAACATTAGAACAGAAACAGGTACATGGGGGGAGGGAATCTCTGTTAACAAGTTTCTCTGATAAAGGTCTCATTTCTAAGATATATAGGGAATTAACTCAAATTTGTAAATAAGAATCATTCTCCAATTGATAAATAGTCAATGGGCATAAAGAGTTTTTAGAGGAAGAAATCTAAGTTATTAACAGACATATAAAAGAATCTAAATCACTAAGAAGGGAACCTAGGAGGCAAA